GTTAAACTTACATTAAAGTTTTTCTTTATTACCCATTTAAGCCGTCTCCAGCCATTATTAATCTCAAAGTGGGTTCCTCGTCACCGAATTTTCCTTAAGATGGTACAAAATTTAAAATTCAAATGGCAGTGCTTTACACAGAGGCATATACAGCCTGTTTCCATGGCAGTAAAAAGGTTAAATGGTTGGAGATGCACATTATAAATGTTGTAGTAGATGTATACGTTAAATTTTAATATTAATTTTCCATTTCTTTCCAGTGCATTCAAACTCCAGCAAAAAGAAAATATCAATAGTTATTCAAAGAAGACAAAGAAAAAGAACATAAATGTGAAATTTTCCAGACTAATGTTGCCAGTAACACATCAGGATATGTTACAGCACATTGACCCTTTTAGGATAAATATATAATACTTTATTAATCAACACAATGGTTTCAACAGTTCTGACAAAAAAGTTCTTGCATAATTTGAACTTTGTAGAAAGAGCCCAAAAGGCAAGACTGTCACCTGATGTGCATATAATAAGTGTTCTTGACCAGGAGAGGAAACTGTGGCTTGTACCAACTGGATCAGTTGAATTGCTTCCATTTTGTTTTGAAAGTGTTACAGGATTTGCTTGGCAAGAAGATAGTGAAGATACAGCTGACACTACAGAGTTGTCTATTCTTTTCGACTCTCTCACTCTGTCAGTATATTCTATTAACATACTAGATATCAACACCAATTCTTGGAATGACGTACTGAGATGTGCAGTAGAGTATGAATGCAGTAGCCTCAATGATATGCTAGGGAACAGTGGCATATTTCTTGAAAAGAATTCAGAGATAGATATACTAATGTACATAAAAAATGAAATTATGATGGTAGTCCATTCTCTGTTTGTTATTTGCCTGGCTGTCACATCTGAAAACCTTGATTTGAGACTTTGTATGCCACTTAAAACCAAAAACGATTTTTCATCAAGTTTTAAAATTATTAGTCACAATTTGTTTATTCTTGATAAGAACAATGCCACCATTGAAATTATCAGTCTCCAAAATGGTGACATTATCAAATACATTGAACTGCATACCTTGTTGAATAAAAGTTGTACATTTGGAGGATTTTGCATTACTCCAGATCTGCAAAAAATTGTTTTATGGGATCAAGATCAAAATGTACACTGTATATCTTTAGAACTGTTTAGAGAAAAATCTAATGAAGCTTCTGCAGATCAGTATGTTCTGCCAAATTCAGTGCAGGTTACAGCAAAACCTCTTATCTCAGCTTTCATGAAAAGGGTACCTTCAAAAATAAAAGTAGCTTATGAACCAAGTAAAGTGGGAAGTAACAAAATTCTAAATAATACACGTACATATCAAATGATCCCATACCCAGAATATTGTAAAGAGAAATTCATCATTGAGGATATTCGACCATTTCAAGATATTCTCTTGTGCTGTCTTCATGAAAAAACTAATAAGCTTAATGTACAGTTAATGATTATAAATGCTAGTGATTTCTCTTTATCATCAATATTAGAAGTTGGCACACCAGTTGTAGTTTCATGGATGGATGGTAACAGACCCGTATTACCTCTGATTCTGTCCAAACAGTACATAAAGATGATGTATGTTGGTCGACCCCCAGAAAACATTCTTACAGATTTAATGATATTCTCCTCATGCAGAATGGCCGAACATCTCTCTCAGCTTAATGGATGGAAGAAGATAAGTTTGGACCTTAATATTCTGGATGAGGGTTTAAAGAATAGACTTTTTGACACTGTTTCCTTTTATTTAAGAACACAAGCAGAAATGTTCTGTTTTTTCTACAAAAACAAATTACTTCAGTTTCAAGAAAACGAAGATGAAGAAAGTAAAAATGATAAAATTGGTCAGTGGGATATCGTGCTTGATCATGTGTTTGAAACTGTTAAAAAGACTTCACCTAACTTCTCTGAACAACTCATGCAATTAACAGTTAACACTTTAGCTCATATGTTATTCACGGTTCACAAAGAATCTGTACAGGCAAACAACTCTGTTCTTACAAAGACATTTATTTTAAAAGTAAAAAATGATCTTCTACAATCTCTCATAAAGGCTCGACAGTTATTACAAATTACAAAATATCCACTACAAACTGTAAAAAATGTAAGTGACTCCAAAGCTGAAAATGGATTTATTAATAAAAATTGGCAGAATTTAGACTTGGAAGACCTTATTCACAATATTGTTTTGACGGGTGATTTGCTTGGTGGTATGAATTTTGTGTTAGAACATAGAAAAAGTGAGATTAGCATGCATAATGGTAGTTTACTAGACTTATTCATAAAAGTTGGCTTGAATTTTGCATGTACTTATTTATTACAGAAACTCATGGATCAAGCAAAAACATTGATAATAAATCTTGGTTTTCCCGTAAAACTAAAACTGAGAGAGATATTTTGGAGTACACCTAATCATGCTCTTCGTCAGTATTTGAAGGAGGAGTTGGGTAAAATGGAAGCTTTGTCTACAAAAGACCACAATATCAACAACAACTTAGAAAAATTAGAAAATGCTTATGACAGCAGAAGTTTTGAGACATCACTTAATATTAAATTAGAGGGATCAAAACCAATACAAGAAATGGATTTGGTACATTCTAGATTAAAATCTCTTCAACTATCCTCACCACTTCTCCAAACTGGAGAGTTTGCTGTTAATAGTGAAAGAGATAACAATAGCCCTTATTATTGTTGTTTGACACTAGAATGGGTAGAAAAGTGGAAAGAACACCAATGGGAAAGAGCATTGATTTCTAAAATGTTCTCAGAAGACAGTAATGAAGATTTTCACTGGGAAATCAGTTCTCAGTCACTTTGGAACTTCTTGCTTGATTATGGACTGAGAGATGTCTTAAGAAAGTGGATAGTTACATCTTTTGATGAATGCTCAGTTGATAAAAATTCTATACTTTCACGGTATGATTTAGATGGTAGTTTGTTAGACACCATAAGAAATACAGTCATGAGACATGTTGAAGAGGAAACTTTTGATGAGCTAGCAAAATATGGTGTGTTTCCTGAAGAGGTACAGGAGGATTTTTGCATTCTGTTGGAAAGATTAGGACGTATCTGTGCTATAACTCCAGAACCACTACAACTTAACTCAGTTCATTCTTCACTTTCTAATCTAGACTTCAGGCACAGGTTAGTTCATTATTGTCTTCAACATAAGTTGGTGAATCTTTTGTATAGCTTTCTGAGGAGTAGCAGCATACGTTTACCAAACTCTTGCTCAGTATGCCACACCTCTTTATTGAGAATGATTTGGGATTTTTGTAACTGGTCTCGTTTACCTGAAAGCCAACAACACTGCTTTTATACTGTTCTGTCCACTGCACAAGAAATTCTTCAATTAGACACAATTAGTGTTCAAGCAATATGGAAGCAAGGATCTGTTGGACTAGCTTTGGGCACTGCTATTGTGGCACCATTATCACTTTCTGATCTTACAAACAGCACAACAGATTCTAGATTGAAAGTGGATTTTAAGATATTACAGGAAAAACTAACTTCCATTCCTATTCTACAGGAATTATTTACACAAAACTGCAAAGTAGTTCCAGATATTACCATTTATCATCTTTTACAAAAGAGCTCAAAATTTGACCCTTCAAAATTGTTTGGATGGCAAGAAACAAACGTTATCAAAAGTGAAGATGCTCTATCAGATATTCCCCATTTTTCTCATCCTTTTCTCTTGGAACAATATGGATTGAGAAAATCTCTTCATCCTATGTATTACCTGAAGCAAGGTCGACCTGGTTTTGCTGTGTTAAAGTTTCTTGTCATGTCACTTTTAAAAACTTCTCCTCTTTCTCATAAAAAAATTCAGTCTATTTGTAGAGAAGTTACTCGATTTTGTCTTAGACACCATTCCACCTCTGAAATTGTAGCCGCTTGCGTATCTTTCATAGAAATGCTTGGAGAAGACTCATTTCCATTGCGTGTTACTCTTCATATTGGAAAATTGGCTTTTTCTCATCAGCCACAATTAAATGAATCTCAGAATGATAGTTGTTTCAAAGACTTTGATAATGAAAAATGTATGGAAGCTATCTATTTTGGGAGTTCTGCTACCGCTGTAAATATAATGGCAAACGTTAAAGTAGAAAGGGAAGATGAAACTGAAACAACAGATCCAGTGAATAGGGCTATGTTATGGTATCCAGTGTTTGCATTTTGTCATATTCACCAGTTAGATCTCCCACCAGACTTTTTGCAAGCATGTGCAAGATCTGAAGATTGGCTGTTGTTTCTTGTGTTTGCTCAGATATACCAATTACCTAGAGAACAGGTGTTAGAAGTAATTGAAGAATATGGACAGACTTCTGTTAGAGAACATTTAAAGAGGGCTATTAGTAACTTAACTATAAAGCATGTAACTGCTATAGCAGAAAGTTCTCAGTTTGAGATGAAAGCTAATAAGTTGGGTGTTCAACGTGACCTACGGAGTTTTTTATATGCTCGTATTGGATTGATTAATGTAAAAGGGAAAAGGAGTACTCCAAGTGATAGTGGCCCTGATGTTTCAAGTGATGATGACCAAATTTCCCGAAATAGTGAAATTGGTGACACCTCATCTGCTGCACAAGACACAGAACAAGTCTACATACAAGTACTTCGACACCAAAAAGATGTCATTGGTGAATTACTTTTGTACCATGACACAGAGCATCCTTGGGAGGAATTATTAATTGCTAGTCAGATACATGGTGACATGACTATAGCTCTTCTTGTTGCTTCTCTTTTCCCAGACTCTTGTACTGTTGATAGTTTGTGTACTTGGTTGTTGACATCTCTTAGTCTTGATCTTCAAAATCAAATATTGCAACAGTTGGCTATTACTTTACCTCATCTTGGCTGGTCACTTGATGAATTAACAAAATTAATGGAGTGTTTTGTGAAGTATAAAAAGATTTTAAACCTTTACTGGGGATTTTGGCTTTTTCAGCCAAAGTCTCCTTTGTTGTGCCTTTTAGAATTCCTTATGGTATTTCTCAAGCAAAAAAATTATGATGGCAGTGCAAAGCAGTTAAAACGTTTTCAAGATCTTATTTGGAAATATGCTGATCAAAAAAAGCAGATACTTGTCTCTATGGATGATCTGACTTGGATTGAAATCACAGCAGCAAGGCTTCTCACTTTATCAGTAAATGTTTGCAGTAATAGCTATGAACAGCGAGTGATGATAAGACATTATGCTTTTGCCAGAATACAAAATATGTTCTCCACTCCTGTTATCCTTCCTGATTTTAACAAGTTAAGTCATCTTGTAGAATGTCTAAGTAACACTGAGCTTCCCCACAGTATTCAGGCTCTGCTTGAACCTGAAGAAAACATCCAATTCATGGAAATGTGCAAGACATTAGTTCATGAATTATTATGCCAAAAACATTTTGAAGAAGCACTTAGATTTGCAAAATTAGTAAGTCTTCCAGAGAATGAGGTGATTCTTGGTCATTTGAAAATTGAATTAGAAGAAGCAAAACTTTTGGGTATACCAAGGAACTTTTGGAGAAATTGTAATAACACTCTTAGAAAGCATAAAGTAGAACCTTTGGTAGCAGCGTGGTTTTTTAAAAACCAAGCTGTAATAGAAACAACATACCAAACGAAACTAGATCTAATGAATCTTGCTGTTCAATGGTTAGAAATGGTGGAAAATAAAATGCAGTCAATAACACAAGAAATTCAGAAATGGAAAACAGAAATGTGGTGCTACTGGATAAAAGTGGAAGTTCAGCATCCTTGGAAGCTGACTGATTGGTGTAAAACAGTATTGTACGAGCAACCATCAGAAGGTGAACTCTTTGTTTTAGTCCAAGACCAGGTTATGACAACAGAATCGACTGTTTTAATGACACTATCTGGTAAAGAGGAATATGATGCCCTTGAGAGAGTCATTGGGCAATTGTTGCAGCAGAAACAATGGAAACAAGCTGTCTGTTTGGCAGAAGTTTTTCAGTATAGTAGTAGTAGTTTCCAACTTTTAGTTGTTAGATCCTGTCTCCTTTTAGCTCTGTTCTCATTGACTCCAAGTGACTTAGATCCACGTTTAATAAAATCAATGACCAACAACAGTAAAGTACGTCAGAAGAAAATATCAAGTGTTGCTGTGCCACGCAAGTTTGTAGTCAGTAGAACTTCTAGTTCCTTAAGCCTAGCAAGCATTTCGTCAGAAACGGGTAATGAAGTTCTTAACAGTGATCAGCTAGAGCTAGTGGAAGTAATGGAGCGTTTAGAAAATGTGTCTAAGACTACGTCTCCAACTTGTAGTTTAATTAGTGTGTACTTTAAAATAGCATTAGTAATGAACTTATCTTTTAAAAGTGTTGTATTTGAAAAAGATTCGTTTTGTTTATTGAAAAAACTGTTGCAAAGTAGTTCTCCCCTGAAATACAGTTTAGCCAAAGAGCTCATAGAGATTCGTCTCTTGACTACAGAAGCAGTGACGACATTCTTGTGCCAAGAAATATTGAATTGTTTAAAACTGTACACCGGTCAGAAAGATGAAGAATTTTCCCCAGTAAGCAGTGCTGAACTTATATTTAATCCGAGTGAATCCACACACGCGTTTCAAGCTCTGATCAGACTCTCAGGTAGTGCAACACTTCTTGGTAATAAATTGGTGTCGCACATTGTTTTGGATGAATATCAAGAAGAAGTAACAGACCAAGAGACGTTATCGTTAGATGTTGAGCTCTGCGTTAGAGCCCACGAGTGTTTTAGTGAATCTTGCTACATGGAAGGTTTGTCTCGCATACTTCGGAAAGCCAGGTTTCTTACTGAACGACTAGCTGTGGCAGAAGAATATACCTTGCTTGTTAGATTGCTAACAGGAATAGGACGTTACAGCGAAATGACATATGTCTTTGACATTCTTTTAGAAAACCATCAGTTTGAACTGTTGTTCAGAAAAGGGATGGAAAAAGTTACTCATTTGAAGCTAGCATTGTTGGATTACTTGAAGCGCCACAGACCAAACGATAGTGATTTGTATTCTATGCTAGCTCTTAACTTTAGCCTTCATCGTGAAATTGCAGAGTTACTAGAGAGTAATGGTAAACAAGATATTTTAGACATTGGCTCCACAGGAGTTAAGAACCTGAAAAACTCAACACAACTAAGGACTGCAATGCAATACTTTGCAGATGCTGCTGAAAGTTATGTTAAAGCGGATTGTTTGAGACATGCCCAAGTTTGTGCAAACCAGGCAGAGTTGATAGCTCTACAGCTACATCTACTAACTCAAGGATTAGCTGTAATCTGTCTACAAGAGAAAGAGGTAGAAAAATTTATTATTAACCATCCCAAGTTTTCGGAATCTTTGATAGTTGCTGAAGCTTACGAAAATCATCAGTCTTGGAGCATAGCGTTGTACCACCATGTGGTTGAACGTGGGGACATGGAATATCTTAGAAGTTTTCAAATCAGTTTAGGTTTGAATCCATTCGTAGTTGAAGAAGTGGGGAAAAGGTTTAAAGTATCCACCAGCAAAACTTCTGAGCATATACAGAACTTGCGTAAACTTCTGACGAAATTGTCGAATGTTGAAGCTGCCTACAGACTTTCCAATGAATTTGGATTTCGAGACATTGCACTCGATTTAGTACACGGAGACTCGGGTGACTATCTGCAAGATCTAATAATTCAGGGTCAAGTGATTTAGTAACACGGATTTCGAGACATTGCACTCGATTTAGCACACGGAG